TGGCTCAAAGCCTGATGTTCTATGCATGTAATTTATGGATACTAAGAAAACACGAAGCCATAAAAATATGAGCATTTTCTTGAAAAAGTGATCTGTACTCCTTAAACTTACAGAACTAGAGAGGGATCATTCCTTATGGCTAGGTATCCCACGGAGGTCCCATTTTGATCTATGTAATTGGGAGTGTGCTACTGCAAACCCACCATCCCCACGCTGGAGAATAAGACCGACAGCCTGAATTCTCCAGCCAGCTGATGCCTAGGACATTAGATGCTCACAGCTGTCACTGGGAAATGATCCTGGATTAGGGCGGCCAGAAGAGACACGGTAGATGAGTTTAAATCACAGGCAAAGAGGGAAGGAATCAGCCCTGTTATGGCCCACCTGCAGAAAGACTTGCACCCTGGACTTCACAACTCATCCTCCACCACTTCACAGCCCACTGAGAAGGAATGAAAAATAAAATTCCAACATAAACGAGAACCAAGATGTGATGTTTTCTGACATCTGTTGTTTGCATGGCACATTCTTAACTCACAACATTCTCCACAAAGTAGGCAAGTATGATTTTATACTCATTTCACAGATGAAGAGGGGTCCCTGAGACTCGGTGAGTTGTTAAGACCATATAATAAGGAAAGACTCAATCCCTAATCTTCTGAGTCAGCCTCAGGGCCTCTTTCCCCTCAACCAGGCTGTCTTCTAACCTTCCAAAGTGACTCACAGAGTGCTAGTTTGAAAAAGCAAGCCACATCAAAAGTCCAACAGCATTACATGAACACGGATTTTTTTTGGTTCAACTGAGGACACTGGGAAAGACAGCCAGAATAACCAAGTTTTAAATGATCTCCCACATTTGGTGAATTTCAGACATACTATTTATAAAAATAAAGGAGGTGGAAATCTGTGGTAAAATTTAGCTTGAGAGGCCCAGAACTTAGAGGATCTGCTCTCAACCATTTCCATCCAGAAGAATCTCCTCAGGGAGCCTTGGCTGCCTTTGGCCACATCACATCCAAGCCAATTCTTGATGTGGGGGTCACAGGAAGAGGAAGGAAGCATCCCGGCCCAGTGTCTCATGCATCTTTTCTCATCATTGCACAACGATTGCTCTTTGTCTACCTGCCCTCATAACTCCCCTAACTCCCAAACACAGGCAAAGAATGCAAAATATCAAAGCAAGGTCTAAGTTTTGTCAGCTAGATTTGATTATTCTTTCAAACATGGAGGCAAACGTCTAGTCAAAATCTGTTGGGAGTGAGGGATGAATAACTGAAGACAAAGATCGCCCCCATTTATGAGAAAAAATTAAAACTATCATTTCTCCCTTAAAATCAGGTGTGTGTGCTATTTACACACACACAAGCACACACGCACACACACACACTTTTTCTAGTTTCCTTGTTGAAGAGGAAAATGTCTAATTTACATGTAGAGCCCACAAATTATAGCCATACCAGACAAGGAAGCAGATGAAGACTATGATTGATATTCCAAAATTTCCGTCCTGATTTCCCCATCCTCAGAATTAGCCACTCTATAAATCAAACCGACATATGAACATCTGATGTTGAAACCAATAGGTCACATCTGTGAAAAACATCAGAAACATAAAGAACTGGATTCTTCTGTTTTCTCCACAAAAACACCAACCCCCCTCCTCCCCACAACCATTTCCACCATTATACCTTAAAATATACTGTCTCTTCTAAGAAACTATCGTTTTCCATATGTGTATTGCTATTAACAATGGCTACTTTTTCTTTCCAGCAGGTTGTGTAGATTAGGAATTGGCACTGTTTTCCACAGTAAACCTGAATGAAACCTTAGCTGTTTCTAGGTAAGTAGCTATCATTGAGACACATGTGTATACTGTCAACCAGTGACCTAATAGAGATGGAAATCCCTCATTTCTTAAGAGTATTTCTGTTTCTGCTGATCTGGGTTTGTGTATCTGAGAGTTGAAGATGCAGACTACAAATTTTGGAGCTGTTAAGAGTTGCCTGCTACTCTCCCTGTGTCACCTTATGAGAATCACTTGTGTGGACTCGGGGCCTTCCTTGGTTCTTCTCTCTCCAAGAATCTCCAAGTGCAAGTACTCATGCCATTTCTCCTGTATGAGGCCAACACTAGTGACCCACCATCCCTGGAATATGTATTCTGAGGTCTTTTCCAGGCGTGGTGATGGATTTATATTTATACAATGTTTAGAGCTGAAAGAACTTTGTAGACCATCTCAACCAAATTCCTCATTTATAGCTAAGGAATCTGAGGAGTGAAGAGCATAAGTGACCTCCTCAAGGTCACACACCTTGTAGACAAGCCACCACAGTCTCCTGATGCCCACCCCCATTCTTCCTCTCCTCTTTGCTCCATGTCAGCTGACTTCATCTATACACAAACAAAGTCTCCTTGGTGACCCCGGCACACACTTGCTGAGTAGCTGGTGAGGAAGAGAGCAGCCCCTGGCTACTGAAACAAACTTTAGTCTTCAGGAAGCTAGCCAATCCCTACAGAGCTGATCTGTGGCTCACCTCACACTGCTTGAACCAAATGACTATAGCATGTTGCACATAGTATGAACTCAATTAGATAGGTGTCCAGTGAATAAAGTAAGCTAATCAGCCCAGATGATAGAGCCACAGGGCTTATTTTGTGGTTATAAAGAAGCAAATGTATTGCCTTGTGGCCCATTGTAGAAATTAATACACCTTTTCCCAAATCAGGAGGCTATGAGCCATCACCAACAGTAGGGCCATGGTGGCCCTCACTCTTTCAACACATATTTAAAAGTTCACATGTTGTGGGAGAATTTAATAAGGTGCTTGGTGAGTGGAATTGGGATCAAAGAGATTAGAGAACTTTTAAGACCATTCTCTTATTTTATATATTTGGGACTCAAAGACTCAGAGAACTGATGTTATTTGCCCAAGTTGCCCCTGACCTCAAGCCCAGCTGTCACCACTACTCCAGGCTGCCTCCTCCATGCTGGCAGGGTTTTGTTCATGAAACTCAATCTCTACAACATGGAACCCGTTTCTAGAGTTCAATGCTCTGTACATAGACCGTCAAACATCTACTGGCTAATTAATGAAGACTGGAAATTCAGTCACTTTAGTTTGCCCTACACCCCTGGTAGGTTAATAACCCTTTTACTTTTTGTATGCTGTTTGGGTCAGCTGAATCAAAGTGAAGACTCCTTCCATCTGTCATGGATAGGAGATCTGACCCAACACCCCCTCAGAGACTAGCTTTGGCTTCTTCTCCCAGGTGGGCTGAATTTTGACTTCCTCCTTTTCTGTTTTTATACTTTCTGAAGATTCTGAAAAATGGCACCTACTCTATGGGCAGTGAAAATACCCAGTCCATGATCACCAGGCTTGTCATCCTAAGTGTGTCGGTCAGACCAGCTGTCCCCTTTACAACCTCCACACCCCACCCATTCTCCACAAATATCTGTAGGATAGACTTATCCTTCTGCTCAACAGCCCAGGGGAATGGGGATTCTTGTCTTCTTCATTAACAGCTATAAAAACAAGAACTGTTTGTGTGGAAACATCCAGATAAAGAAGGCATCCTCCATGCCAACTTCTCTCTTTATCATGGGCAAGAATCAAGAAGCCTCTGCACATGCTCAAGCCCAAATCCTAGGTACTATAGACCTCCCCTACTTCCATAACAGCCCACCAAACAGAGCTGGTTTCTATAAATTTTAGGGCCTCTGGAGAGATGAAGGATTTGCTTATGTGCCTACTGCACATCCAGGAAAATCGCTCCTCTGCAAGCTTCTCAAATGCCCCATGTTTCTTGGTAGTCTTACTACCTACTTAGAAGGCTTCCACTCTTGAATCTACTTGACCTCAGTCTTCCATCTTTCTGACCCACATATAAGTGCTGCCAGCCAGATCACCCGAATCAACCTGGCAATCCATGGAATGACATGGTGCATCCATATTGCTCTCATAACCCATTGGTTCTACTTGTTAGCTGACTCTCTTACTTAAAAAGGGAAATAGAAAAAAAACTAAAGAAATATAGTCACATAGGAATTGGCATCCTCCTGTTTGAGAAAATGTTGGCAATGTGGGGTAGCAATCTAGGCTGCAGTGCCAATTCTATCAGGTAGTAATGAACAAACAACAATAATAATGAGGATGAGGTTGATGACAGGTGGCTTCATTTACTGCATACTTATAAGCCAGGCTACATTCTTAGTGCTTTACACATATAATCTCATTTAATAATATTTCCAGTGTAAGCAAAAAGGTCAGATCATTTTCTCTTTCTAAGCTTTCGGTTTTCAGATCTGTTACACTGAGATAATAGTTAAATCACAGGGTTGCCGTGCAAATTAAATGAGATAATGGAGACAAATGCAATTATCAAACTCTAAAGTGATTTATAAATATTCTTTATTATGATGATGATGGTTCCATTCCTTCCAAGAACATTCAACTATAAAGTCCCCAAGCCATAACTGAGTCCTGACCAAGTATAGATGCCCCCTAGCAGTGAACCCTGTACCCTCAAACACAAAGCAAGGCACCCAAGTACCATCTTTCAGAAACCAGTTTTTTCTTTCATAAAATTTGACAAAAGGTTCTAAACTAAGTGAATGTCAACAGACAGGTTAGAAATTTGATTTCTCCTTCCCCATCCTAATAAGGCAGTGATGTAGTTAAAATAATGTGTCTGGCCTGCACCCCAGTGTTTATAGCAGCAATGTCCACAATAGCCAAACTATGGAAAGAGCCCAGATGTCCATCAACAGATGAAAGGATAGAGAAGATATGGTATATATTTATACGATAGGTGACAAGGATAGAACTAGAGGGTATTATGCTAAATGAAATAAGTCAATCAGAGAAAGACAATTATGATCTCACTCATATGTGGAATTTAAGAAACAAAACAGAGGATCATAGGGGAAGAGAAGAAAAAATAAAACAAGACTAAATCAGAGAGGGAGACAAACCATAAGAAACTCTTTTTTTTTTTTGGCTGGGTACAGTATACTTTATTGATGGTACATGACAAGGTAGGGCTCCCCAAGCCCCTCCCCTTCTCCAGGGGGTCTGGGTTGGAAACGTTGGAGGTCGGGAGATTCTCAGTGTTCTGGAGGATAAGTTGGGGCAGGGAGTCCCCAGCAGCTGAGGGCCTCTCTCTTCCTCTTGCTCTCGCTGGGGCTGGTGGTCCAGGGGGCTCTTACTCCTTGGAGGCCATGTGGACCATAAGGTCCACCACCCGGTTGCTGTAGCCGAATTCATTGTCATACCAGGAAATGAGCTTGACAAAGTGGTCGTTAAGGGCAATGCCAGCCCCGGCATCGAAGGTGGAGGAGTGGCTGTCACTGTTAAAGTCACAAGAGACAACCTGGTCCTCAGCATATCCCAGGATGCCCTTGAGGGGGCCCTCTGACGCCTGCTTCACCACCTTCTTGATGTCATCGTATTTGGCAGCTTTCTCCAGGCGGCAGGTCAGATCCACGACAGACACGTTGGGGGTGGGGACACGGAAGGCCATGCCAGTTAGCTTCCCGTTCAGCTCAGGGATGACCTTGCCCACAGCCTTGGCAGCGCCAGTGGAAGCAGGGATGATGTTCTGGGCAGCCCCTCAGCCATCACACCACAGCTTCCCAGAGGCGCCATCCACAGTCTTCTGGGTGGCAGTGATGGCATGGACGGTGGTCATGAGTCCCTCCATGATGCCGAAGTTGTCATGGATGACCTTGGCCAGAGAAGCCAAGCAGTTGGTGGTGCAGGAGGCATTGCTGACAATCTTGAGAGAGTTGTCATACTTCTCATGGTTCACACCCATCACGAACATGGGGGCATCGGCAGAGGGAGCAGAGATGATGACCCTCTTGGCCCCGCCCTTCAAGTGAGCCCCAGCCTTCTCCATGGTGGTGAAGACCAGCGTTGGTGGTATAGTGGTGAGCATAGCTGCCTTCCATGGTGGTGAAGACCTCAATGGACTCCACAACATACTCAGCACCAGCATCACCCCATTTGATGTTGGTGGGATCTCACTCCTGGAAGATGGAGATGGCCTTTCCATTGATGACAAGCTTCCCGTTCTCAGCCTTGACTGTGCCGTGGAATTTGTCATGGGTGGAATCATACTGGAGAACATGTAGACCATGTAGTTGAGGTCAATGAAGGGGTCACTGATGGCGACAATATCCACTTTGCCAGAGTTAAAAGCAGCCCTAGTGACCAGGCGCCCAATATGGCCAAATCCATTCACTCCGACCTTCACCATCATGTCTCGGGGACGCAGCTGGCACTGCACCAGAAGATGCGGCTGTCTGTCGAACGGGGAGGAGCAGAGAGCCCTATAAGAGACTCTTAATCATATGAAACAAACTGAGAGTAGCTGGAGGGGAGAGGGGTGGGGGATGGGGTAACTGGGTGATGGCTTAATTAATTAATTAATTAATGTGCCTGGGTTTTGACATCCCTACCCCCACCCACCTAGATGTTTCCATGAAAGCGAAGGGGCTGCCACCATTCAAGTAAACCTTGTCCTCAGGAAACTTTCGCAGACTGAAGAGACCCCTGGAAACCGGCCCCCTTCTACCAGGCGCCCTCAGGCAAGAAGGGCATCTTAAAGGGGCTCCAGGCCCCCTTTCATCTCTCCAGGCTGCTTCCTTCCAGAATGGAGTATTCTGGCAGAAACATACAGTTTGTTTTTTGAAACTATTTTAGTGGTTGTCTTTTCTATAGTTAGGGTTTTAAGGGTTTTCCCAGTATTTATTTTAGAAAATAATCCCCTGTCCCTTCAAGAACTGAATTTCATTTTCACATTTTCCTTTTTCTTCTCTCAGTACTGACTTCCTGGGAAAATGCCCAACTGAATGAAACAGTTCTTCTGCTCAAAGATACCCTAGGCACCAAATTGTGTTCTCAAAAGGAGAATGCTTTTCACATCTCCTACATCTCTGCAGCTTGGAACAGTACGGCTTCCTGATTTAAACTGCCTTTAGGTAAAATTATTTACTTTGTGCTATAGGCTCTACCGCATCGGATTTTCAAGAGGCTCTGTCACTGCAGCCTTCAAACAGTGGCATGGCCAGCTATGATGGGAACCAAGGTGACGGGCATACTGGCCACTGAAGAAAAGACCACACAGAGCGTTCCATAACCAGCGTGTTACTGAGGGGGGGAGGCAGTCCTTAGAGGTTAAGAAAAGGGGGGAGGGGGTTGTTCACTACTTATTAGTTGTATGACCTCTTGCCAGCTACTTAACCTCTCTGAGCCTGAATTTCCTAATCTATAAAATGGCAGTAATGATAGCACCTATTTTATAAAATGATCACAAGAAATAAAATAATGAATGTAAAACTTACTTAAACATCCAGCAAGTTGGTGGTGCTATGTCCTCGGTATTAATTTCCTGTGTCTGGCTGTAACAAATGACCACAGAGGAGGTGACTTAAAGCAACAGAAATTTATTCTCTTAACAGATCTGGAAGCTAGAAGTTCAAAATCAAGATGTCAGCTGGGTTGGTGCCTCCTGCAGTCTCAGGAGGGAAAATCCATTCCATGCCTTTCTTCTACCTTCTGATAGCTGCTGGCAAGTCTTGATGTTCCTTAACTTACAGCTCGATCTCTCCCATCTGTGCCCAGGTTTCCAGGTGACCTTCTCCCCTCTGTGTCTTCTCTCCTTGTCATCTCTTATAAGGACATTTGTCAATGGATTGAGGGCCCATCCTAATCCAATACAATCTTATCTCAAGACCCTTAACTTAATTACATCTGCAAAGACACTTTTTCTAAATAAGGTCATATCCACAGAGTCCTTGTGGACATATCTTTTGGGGAGACCACCATTGAGACCATTGCACCCTCTCGCCAACTAAAAGAGTCAGTTTAAGTCATGCAAGTCTCAAACTTTTTCTTCCTCTGTGAAATAAAACATGGGTCCATTTTTTTCCACAAATGTCTTCACTCTTCCTGTTAGAGGCCTCTCTGGTCAGACTCCTCAAAGCTAGGATAACACCTATTATCTTCCTGTCCTGTGGCTCACTGGTTTGCAGATGGAACGTGGGCATAAATGATGGGAAGTGTACAGTAGGGTTTCAGATGAAAGAAACAGAAGATGGCCTTGCTCAACCCTTCATGTCCTTGATGAGGTAACAGAGATCCGGGAAGTGATGTACCTTGCTGAGGTAGTGCAGGTAACATGATGGCAGAGCCATCATAGCGTCAGGCACCTGGCCCAGGCCCTGCCTCTCATTGCTGTCCCCTCCCACTGTGTCACTCTTCTACCAAGCCTCACAGTTGTGAGGTCACCCTCAGCATTCTATAAGCCCAGAGAAAGGAAGCTGAGATGTCTCACACCTTACTGCATGCGCCTGGTTAATTCTAAAAGTCAGACCAATGTTAGTCCATAAAATTAAGATGTAAATAAGCCAAAGTCAGACCAGCCATAATGCCAATCAACCTTTGATTTGCTTTTTTACATTTCAGGGTACAAAGAGAAAGTTTGGAAAATGCTTCCCATCTTACTTAAGGGCAATAGAATCTTATAACTTCACTTGAAACTTGGATCACATAAATAATCTCTTATATTCTAAAGATTCACCCAATATACCAATTGTTTGGAACTCAAATTCTCCATTCTCTAGGACTGATATTAACCATAAAGAGTCCCTTTCCAGGCTATAGCCTACAAAATAATACAATGACAACAAAAAAGAAATCAATATTAATATTAACAATATAAGTAAACAAAGAAAACTTAAATTGAATTAGAGAGTTAATTCTTTTATTAATTTGCCCAGAATTCCAATTTGAGAAAAAAAAAAAAGGCTTAATAAAAGGAACATGGAGAGGTAGAAGGGAGCTTTTAGAAAAGTTGATGGGATCTTCTGGGTATTTTCAAGGGCATTAAAGATCAATTACATTTAATTCCATTTTGAATTTATGAATTTCTTTTTCCAAATGAAATATCTTGTAGCTCTTTACAATTTTCAGACTGCTTTTGCCACATAGTCTCACTTGCAAGAGCAGCCAGATGAGTGGAGATTTTATCAAGCAATCACGCCAGATGAATTCCAGCAAGTGATAAATTAGCAATTGGGAAGTGGTTACTACTGGTCTCTTTCAAACCCCCACTACTCTGAGTATGGCCAGGACATCAGCATCAACAGGGAGCTTGTTAGAAATGCAGAATGTCATCTAGACCCCAGACCTACAGAAATCAGAATCTGCATTTTAACAAGTCCCTCAGGGGATTCCTATGCACATCAGCATCTGAGAAGCAAAGCTGCTGCCAGTGAACAGAGGTGTCTTTATGAAATAAAATAAAGTGGGTAAGCAGGGAAAAATACTCATAAAGAATATACATTTGATTTTTAATTATCCAGCAATGTTGCAAATTGAGCTAATATCCTCTTTAAAACAGATGCTGGCTAAACTACAATAATTTAACAGAAAAAAAAAAAAAAGCCAAACTCAAAGACAGAAAGGGAAATCTCTAGTTACCAAAAAAAACCACAAAGGAACTCATCGCACATGAGCGAATGTACCAGAATCCCGAGGGATAGCAGACTTGGCTGCAAGTGCTAACAGCAAGGTACTAGAGTCATAAAATCCCCATAAAAAAAAGAGATGAGGCCTTGGACCCCTAGGAAATGTGATGCTAGAACACAGACTCCTCTATAAACCCTGCCTCCTTTGTATAAGGGAAATGGGAGACTTCCCAACGGGGCTGGAGAAAAAGCAAAGAAGCATCAAGTGTGTGATGGGCCCCCAAGCCCTTGTCTGTGCCACATGCAGATATGGAGTCCAAATGAATACTATGCACATGGTGTTGGGATCTCAAACTGACCAATTACTATGAAAATTCGTCTTGGACAAGTGAAAACCTCGGGACACCCAGCCATGGTAAATATAAAACTTCTCTGTAAAGATACTCCCACCAAACACAGCACAGAAAACTCACACAGACCAAAAATAATCCCAGCTGAGAATGAGCCCACAAGCAAAAATTAACACCAGATGAGAACAGAATTCACTACAAGGGGACATTATCAGGTACCTGGAGCAATAGATTAGCATGCCTCAGAAAATAAGATAATAGAACCATTCCAAAGAGACTACAGTTTTATTTAAACCTGAAGGCAATTTACTAGATAAGAAAACTGAGGCTAATGATGATTTACAGGTAGGAAACTGAAGTTCAGAGAGGCTCAGGCTAATAAAGACTGAGAGCTTCAATCCAGTGCCAGGGTTTTCTCTACCGCATCACAGTATTTCTGTTCTCAATAAATGCAGGCGAGTTGGATCATTTCTTTGATTCATGTAAAACAGAAGAGAAAGAAGTGATTTTCTTAGATTGGGAAGGTAGAACTCTGATTCAATTCATTTGCTCTTAAGCATTTTTTTAATGCAAAAAAAAAGGAAGTAGGTAGGGATCTTTGTGTACTCAAAAATTCTTTTTGGGGGGGCGCCTGGGTGGTTCAGTCCTTAAGCATCTGCCTTTGGCTCAGGTCCTGGGATCGAGCCCCACATCGGGCTCCCTGCTCGGCAGGAAGCCTGCTTCTCCCTCTCCCACTCCCCCTGCTTGTGTTCCCTCTCTCGCTGTGTCTCTCTCTGTCAAATAAATAAATAAAATATTTTTTTAAAAATTCTTTTGGGGGGGGCGCCTGGGTGGCTCAGTCGTTAAGCGTCTGCCTCCGGCTCAGGTCATGATCCCAGTGTCCTGGGATCGAGCCCCGCATCGGGCTCCCTGCTCAGCGGGAAGCCTGCTTCTCCCTCTCCCACTCCCCCTGCTTGTGTTCCTGCTCTCGCTGTGTCTCTCTCTCTGTCAAATAAATAAATAAAATCTTAAGAAAAAAATTTAAAAAAAAATTCTTTTGGGGGACAAAAGGAGGTGACAATGTAAGAATTTTGAGGCAGCTGGACACAATGGGAGGTGACAGGTAAATATCCATCTGAATGTTCAGAAGACAAGGATCTATACCTTGGCAGTTTTCTTTATTTTTCCAAGGCAGGATGTCAGGTAATCACTGGAACATGAGTCAAGATGAGCTTTTGCTTTTACTCCCAGAGCATCTTCATGGTGTTCCTGAAAGGCTATTTTAAATAGCGGCTCTAACCTACAAATCCTTACACAGGGGTGCTAAGGAAGTGGTGGACAGCTCAGGCACTGCAGCAATGCCATAACTTCTCATCTCTTACCCCTTCACTAAATTACGATTAAATTCCATCATTCAAAGCTGCCTGATCTTGGACCAGATGCATATATCACAAGAAGGCATTAAAACCTGACCTTTTATATCCCCAGTAAGAAATGTCATGAGTCCATCACAGAATCATAACTCCCTCTCGAATTGGAGCTAAGAAAGATCTGAACTTCAAAGGGGAACTCTCTGATTACAGGCAAATTTGAGGACTTTTCTAGTAACCTCTTAAAATTCTGAATTTTAAAGAAAAAATGAAATGGCTTTTGTGTTTCAGAGCAAAAGAAATAATGAATGAGTACATAGCAGGATGCAAAAGAAATGCTACACACAGAAAGTGAAAAAGGAACACGCTGACACATCTCTTTGAAGCCAGTTCTAAGATTATGGGAAACTTGAAAATCAGTAACATTTCAGCAGAGGCCCTAAAACCCAAAACAATTATCCACTGGCTCTATCCAGCTAAGATTTACATCTAGTGGCCTCATCGGTATAGATACCACGGAGACTCTGTAAAGAGTACTATGGGGCTTGGTGACTTCAAAACTTGCTCTTGGAATATTTATCACTTCAACTCAGTAAATAGCTAGTCCTTTGCCAGTGGGGAGATAAGCAGGCAGCCTTATCAGTCTTGGTACTTTCAAAAGTCTTGGCAGCCTTATCAGTCTTGGTACTTTCATTCCACAGCACACTGTGGAGCATCTATTGTCCCTCTGATGGTCATCCATACCTACGAGAGCAGAAAGTAGATATTTAGACCTTTGTAAAGAAGAATCATTTAAATGAGAAAGCAAAAACTTAACTGAATAGTAAGAAGAGGAGAAATGGGGACAGGAAGCAACCAGAAACAAAGATTCAAGAGCAACAGTGGTTCAGCCCTGCCATAGTGTGGGGTGTGCAGGATAGCTATGGGGCAATTCTAATCGAGGAGCATAGACGGAGGCCATATATAGTCACCTCCACCTCCATCCATACAGAAGCATTCTTGGTGTCCAAGGGAAAGCAATAACAAAGGAGGATGGCTTTCCTGACATCATCCATGTCTTCATTTAATAAATATTTATTGAGCTCTCACTGTGTATACATATATGTCAGAGACATATCATGAGTATAAAGAGGAAGAAAAGAGATGATAAAATATACAAATGTAGAAAACACAGGTAAAATAAAATACCCCTAATTCAAAAGAAGAAGAAAATATGCCAATTGTGGGACTA